ATTTAATTTAAAAACAAATTAAAATGAATTTCCTACTTGGGAGATATAATATGTCCGTAGAAGGAGCATCTTCCAATTCTTAGGTGGAGAAAAGCTCAACCTAGAAGAAATAGACCCAGCAGATAGAATCTGCTTTTCTCCTTGTGGCAATGAGTATTAATTTTAGTTCATCTTAATTCTCATCACTCTGGTGATGGCTAAGTTGCATAGGGTATCCCTTGAGTCTGGATTCAAGAAGCACCCAGTTCTCCCTAATGGATGTCTTGGTGACACCTCTTTGTCATGACCTTACATATTTTCTTGGGAAGACATCCAGAATTCCTGCTGACCTGTATAGCTGTAAACATCTGCCCTTCCCTTCCCTTCTCTTTTCTTTTTTTCCTTTCCCTTCCTGCTTCCTTCGTGTGTGTGTGTGTGTGTGTGTGTGTGCGCGCGCGTGCGCGTGTGTGCGCGCGCCAGTCTTGGAGCTCTAAAAAAACTACCTTTTATCTTAATCACGATAATTTTGTCACTACAGTAATTTTCTGAGGATTTTCCAGTTGTGTAGTTCATTCTCCTGCTAGCTTTACCAGTGTGTTTTGACTGAAGTTGTAAAGAAATGCAGTGTCCCCAAATGGGACAGTGAGCATGTGTGCTTCTCTCATAAGACAAGGAGAGAAAGTAGAAGAAAGCAGAGATGCCAGGCACTTGTGGCTCACACCTGAGCACCTGTGGCTCCTGCCTGTAATCTTAGCTTCTTAGGGGGGCTGAGATCTGAGAATTGTGTTTCAAAGCCAAGCCCAGGCATGAAAGTCCATGAGACTCTTATCTCTAATCAACCACCAACAAAACAAAACAAAACAAAACTGGAAGTGGATATGTGGTCAGCTGGTAGAGTACTAGATTTGCAAGGAAGCTCCAGGATAGCACACAGGCCCTGAAATCAAGCCCTCATACCAGCACCTCCCCCCCCCCCCCAAAAAAAAAAAATCTGCATGCAGTGTGTAGAGTTTAGGAAATAAAACTCTCTTGTTTTCTTCATTGTCCTTTTCTATACATTGTTCCACTGACTCATTTATCACTTTGACTCACTTTGAAGCTCAGACACTAGATACTGATTTCCACTAGGATGGCTGAATCTGAATTCAACTTAGCTAGTAAAAACTTTCCTTAGCATGACAGATGTATATCCGACTGAGATAGTCTTAGTGTTTCTGGTGCAGTTCTTTCTGGTGCAGTTTTGAGTTAAATTGTACTGTGGATCCTGTAGAACAAAAGGAAAGTTCTTTTGATATACCTCTTTAAGCTGTTATGCATTGTGAGCTTTAAGAGATTCAGTCAGTGTGCATTCATTAACTTGGGTTTTTTGTGATGTAGCTTTAGTTTGAGGAGAGAGAATTGGAAGGAAGTTTGCTGCTTGCTAGGACACTTGTTAGCCAATAGAAGGGTTCACTCCTGTACAAGGTATATCTGCATTATCCTAGTAGGAAAGTAGGTCCTTAGGAGTCCAAACCCAGTACTGCCTACACAAAAGCAAAAACAAAACAAAAGCAAGCAGAAAAAAAAAAAAGCAATCCAAGTACATCTGAAGAAAAGTCTGAAAGGAAACAAATAAAAATGCAAAGAGAGCCTGACTGCTGAGCGGAGGTCAAATCACCCTGCGTAGCTGTATTCATTAAGTCCTTCCCTAAAAGCTGACTTCCAAACACAAACCTTCTCTTACGGAGGGAAGCAGAGCAGCTTGCCCCTCATCAACAAACTGCTTTTGAGAATGCAGATTCTTAGAACAAGATCTGTGTTTCTGATTCATCATGAAAGTTCTTCCTTTCAGTGTAATATTAGATTCGATTTTGACTGCTAGCTTTGGGTCATACTGGCTGCTACAGTCCAGATATAGGAAGGAAATTGGGTTATTCACATCAATTCACATTTATAGACTTGAAGAACTTAGGTAGAATTTTATTCTTATTTGTATTTTATGTTATTTAATTTTTCTGTTATTTATTGTTATTAGAAAGGTAATGTTCAGAGGGATTGTAGTTACATAAATCAGGTAAAGAGTACATCTCTTTTTGGACAATGCTATCCCTTTCCTAGCTCTCTCCCAATTTTTCCCTCCTATCCCCACCCACAGGTTGTGTAGTTCATTTTCAGCATAGTGTCTAGTGAGTACCACTGCTGCTCCATTTCTGTGCCTTCCTACCTTCTAAAGACAGATAAACAAACAAGATGGAAAGAAAAGAAAAAAGACCAAATTTATATAACCTCTTGTTTCCATTTCCTGGAGCAATGGAATTTTAAAATATGTATTGGTGGGCAAACGGCAGAGTACTTTCTGCATGTATTTACTGACACACTCCCCAAAGCTTGTATTTCATAATCATCAATACCAATAACGGGGACGGTTCAGTGTGGTTTTCAGTACTTTCTAAACATTTGGTATGACATTAACAGTGAATTAAAAGCTGATTTTAATTCCAGCAATTAAAATAGAAACATTTTTAGAATCTTTTGGTCTGATATACTCTAGTTTTATTAGCGCTAGTCTGAGGAAAGAGAGACTAATGTTGATTATGAAGCACTGAAATTGGTGCTTGAGCATATGTATTCCATTTAGCTTTCAAAGCATAAATGAGATGGCCTTTTATAAGGGAGGGTCAACACCAGGAAAAAAAAAGGTAGTTTTTGTTGTTTATTAACAGTATTCTTATTGCTGGTGCTTACCAAAGTCAACTACAGCTCAGTACCTATTTTTGGCAACTAGAGCTATTAAAACTTGTTGCCAGAAAAGCTGAAAAGTCATGACTTTTATTTATTTCCAACAGGTTATCCCAGCCAATGTTTTTTTTTCGTCTGTATCTCTTAACTAAATATTAACTCTAAGTTATATTTTACGTGGTTTTATTAAATATTCATATGTTCAATACTTGAGTACTTACTATTTGCCCATTGGTACTAGAAATTAGCAATATAGTGAGGTGGCTATTTTAGCCAGTAGCTGTGGTGAAATATGTTCTGAGGACTTTGAATATTTACCAAGACGTACATATTATATAGAGAGCATTTGAATCACAGGTGCTAAAAGGGAAATAATTGAGTTACTGTTTTCTAAAGCAGAAGTGAAGAAAAATGTGCTTATTCAGTGTTACAGGGGCACTGGAACTTAGTAAGGTCATTTTATGGGGACAGATAGCAAGAGGGGTGTGACAATGGAGACATATCTTCAGCTATTTTAAAATATCATTATAGCCTGACACTTGGAATCAGAAAATCATTCCCATCAGGTATGTCCTGTTCTTACTCTTAATTTAGCACATCCCAAGAGCAACATTTCTAGATTAGAAATTATTGGACTACTTGATGATTAGAAATATGAAAAATCTAACAGGCATAAATTGAATTACTGTCTGTCTAGTAATTGTATCTGAGAGGCTTGGGTTTTTTTTTAGCTGGGTTTCTTTCTTGATTTAAGACAAAACATCCTGATTCCATTAAAAGTCCTAGACTTTTCTCTTGTATCACTATGTACAAGGAGAATGGAAAAGATATTAATATATTTGTCATTGCTCAGGAAAGCTCAGGAAAGGGCTTTGAAGCTTTAAAAAGTAAGATATTCCTTCCACCTACCACAATTATTGTGTGGTCGCCTGGTTCCAGAATTAGTCTCAAAAGTAACTTTGAGTCATGTTTACCTATTGTATGTAGATCTAGAATAACTCAGGAGTGGTCTTTTTTTTTAAAGGAAATGAAACATTTTAGAGCAGACCAGTATTTCCCCATGTGACTTTCACAAACACAGATGTAGTGAAATAACCTTCTCCTCATCCTAACTTCCAAACTTGGGAATAGTATGTCTTTTTCTGCTCAAAGTTTGGGTGCTTTATCACTTAAGCCACACCTCCACTTTTGAGCTTGGCTTAATTGTATTTGGCGCCAGCTTTTTTTTTTTTTTTCCTTGCTGTTGGTCATGGGGCTTGAACTCTGGGCCTGGGCATTGTCCCTCACTCTTCAGCTCAAGGCTAGCGCTCTACCACTTGAGCCACAGAGCCACTTCGGTTTTCTGGTGGTTTTTATTGGAGATAAAAGTCTCATGGACTTTCCTGACGGGGCTGGCTTTGAACTGCAATCTTCAGTTCTCAGCCTCCTCAGTAGCTAGGATTACAGGTGTGAGCCAACAGAGCCTGGTGAACTTTTTTTTTTTTTTTTAAATTTTAAATCAGCTAACAAAGCCAGGTCATCATTGGCTCCTGCCTGTAATCCTAGCAACTCAGGAGGCTGAAGTTGGAGGGTCAAGGTTTGAAGCCAGCCAGGATATGGACGTCCATAAAACTCTTATCTCTAATAACTTACAAAAAAAAAGCCAGAAGTGAAGCTGTGGTTCAAGAAGTAGAGCACTAGTTTTGAGCCAAAAAGCTCAGGAACAGTGCTCAGGCCCTGAGTTCAAGCCCCAGATTGGGCACAAAAGTAAAATATCAGCTAACAGTAATCCCCAAGTTGACAATTCTTTGCTTGTATTCTTTTGGTTATTTTCTGACACACTCAGCGATTGGTTGCTAACAGTTTGTAGGCAGATCTTAACAGTCCTAGAGAGATTGAAGTTGTCTTCGCCAGCTTATTTTACATGACCTAGAAGCATAGCTCAGTCCATGCATTTTATAGACTATTTACATTGTGTAGAGAAACTGGTAGGTGTATTTCTCAGGCAAAGCAGGAGTTCGTAGGCAGCCTTTCCTCTTCCATGTAAAGACTACTGTCCCTCACATTAGAAGCATGACTGCTTGCTACTAAAGAATGAGTAGAAGCAGGTGAGTTTCTCATGGTGGGGCCAAAGCCTGGATTGCAGTTTTCCCAAGTGTGTAGCCTGGGTGTTCAGCTCTGGCAATGCCTGGCTCCAAGCTGCCTGTGCCTTGCGCTTCTCCATGGCAGGAATTGTGAATGGCTTGTGCTAGCATTTTTCTTTTCACGAACTGCTGTACTTTGCAATATTCCTTGCAAGTTATGTATTTGATGGCATTCTGCAGTGATGGAGAAGGAAGAAAACGGACCTCGTCTACCTGTAGCAATGAGTCCCTGAACGTCGGAGGAACCCCTGTCACTCCGCGTCGGATCTCCTGGCGACAGCGTATTTTCCTGCGGGTTGCATCGCCCATGAACAAATCCCCCTCAGCTATGCAGCAGAAAGGTCTGTGTGGCAATCTCAAAAGAGTGTGTCCTCCGCTGGGTTTCATAAACTAGGAAAGCAAGGGAAATGCCTGGGTATTATAAAACTTTAAGAGATTGAAGTAGAGCTGGGTGCTGGTGGCTCACGCCTTGTCATCCTAGCCACTCACGAGGCTGAGATTTGAGGATCGCCTTTGGAATGAAGCCAGTTCATTGGAGACTATTGCCTTCAATGAACCACCCAAAAGCTGGAAGTAAAGGTCTCATACAAGTGGTGAAGCATCAGCTTTGAGCGATAAAAGCACAGCGACCAGGCAAAGAGCAAGCAAGTGGACAAGCAAGAGTTAAGAAGTAACTTTCTGTATTGATAGAGTGGTTTATTTTTCAGGTATCATTAAGATATGTTAGACATTTAGTACCTGCTTGTTGAGTGGCTAAATTCATAAATGGGTTTCTAAATCCTGTTTTGGCTTACTCCACAGAAATGCAAACTGTGGAAAAACTGAAAAAGAAACCACTTTTTTCTTTTTTTTAATTATTGGGAGAGCAAGACAGAATAATTTTTTCACAAGATTAACACAATAAGGAGACAAAGATACTGAAGAAATAAATATATTACACTAGGCAAATATCAAGTAAAAAAAGCATGGAGTTTATATTATACCAGGCAAATATCAAACAAAAGACAGCATGGAGTTTTCTCTGAATGATTGGCTTACTAGAGTAAACAAATGGTGTAATTACAATGAGAACATATTTTATAAGACAGTCTTGAGAGCTAGAAAGTGATACTGAAAATGATTTTGAAGAGAAATAAACCAGTAGCTCTCATTGGAGACTTTAACACATATATTCTCTGAAAATTAGACAAAGAAAAGTTAAATAAAATTAATATTTGAATAGCACAATTGAATAAACTTGATCTAATATTTACACAGAGCTTTGCCCCTTAGAGAAAACTCATCCATTTTTTAACATACATGAAAGATTCATAAAAATTATATACTTGGCCAGAAGATATTTTAATAATTTTCACTTAGTTGTGATCATCTGTTATATTCACTGACCACAGTTTTGAGGAAGGAAGGGAGGAAGGAAGGAAAGAAGCGAGGAAGGAAGGAAGGAAAGAAAGGAGGGAGGGAGGAGGGAGGAAGGCAAGTAGGCAGGCAGACAGGCAGGCAGGCAGGCAGGCAGGCAGGCAGGCAGGCAGGCAGGCAGAGGACATTTACCTGGGGATATAGTGGTGTGGTGGATCACTTGCCTAGAATGCATGAGGTTGGAATCCTGGATTTGATCCCCAGCACTGCAAAGAAAAAGGCCATTGAAACAATTCATGTGTTTCAAAACTGTACACCTAGAAAACAGAGTGAATGGGAACACTGTATTCTCTACACATTACAATCGTGTGGCATTTAGAGGACAATTCACAACCAGAAAAGTGAAACCAAGAAAGCCAAAATCTAGGTGTATAGAGCGTTCAAGAGGTATAAGTGGAACCATAAAATCATTAAACACACACACACACACATCAAAAACCCTAAATAAAATGTACTCACTATCTTGCCCATGTAATTGTAACCCCTCTGTACAGTATTTTCACACAAAAAAAGGCATAGGTTAATGAATTACAAAACAAAAAAGAAGAAAACAACTGATATTACTGATTCAAATTAATTCTCACAGAAAATTGTTTACCCTCCTTTCCAGGAAAAATTTGTGTCAGGAAAGTTCTAGACTTGTGAGAGAGTTTGGCTGACTGTGAGATTGGACGATTGTGAGACGCTTAGCATGAAAGACTGTATACAGGATGGGAGATTGAGACTTGAGGCCAAAGGTGACTTGAGGTCATAGTATAATGGTGGGGATTTACATCCTAGTTCCCAGTCCTCTGCACTTTGTTCTCTGGGATATTAACAATCACTGAAATATTTTAAGAGTTCTGATCATGTTCATTCCTAGGAAAGTTATTGACGTAGAGGAATGAGAGAGAAAGCTCTTGGACGTAATTTAAGGAGACTGACTCTTCAAGACAGGGGAGCAACAGGGCTGTGGTACCCAGCCAGGAAAGGCCCAGCATAGCTCAGCTGTGGTCTCTTGAGGCATTCCCATAGATGTGGGCTTAGGAGATCATTAGACCCTACCCACACCATCCCCGGTTGTAACCAGAGAATATACGTAGATGAATTGCAGAAGTGTGGTACTCTGGGGAAAAGCCAGCTCACGTTGGAGCCGATCTAGGTAGAAAGAGGAAGTGGGGGAATGACATATGCATTCGTTTCACTGCAAGAGGGAAATCTGGAAGGGGAATTTAGTCTAGTGAACTTTTATAAGTTATAGTTCCAGAAACGACTAGCTACTTGGAGCACCTTTACGTATAGAATCTTAGATTAAGGGAGTGTCCGTTCTTGAGAAAATTTTTGCCATCTGGCTGGGGATTAAGGCATGCCTCTCACTATTTTCTCTTCTGCAGATGGACTGGACAAAAACGAGCTGCTACCCCTGTCCCCACTCACTCCTACTATGGAGGAAGAGCCTCTTGTTCTATTCCTGTCTGGTGACGATGACCCAGAAAAGGCCGAAGAGAAAAAGAAATCAAAAGAACTAAAGAGCTTGTGGAAGAAAGCTATACACCAGCAAATCTTGTTGCTTCGAATGGAGAAGGAGAACCAGAAACTGGAAGGTTAGCAGACACACAGGGCTGAAGGCTTGGGGTGTGTATGTACTCGGATTAGACTAGCTGTTGACTCTAATCATTTTTATATTCCTATTTTGTGAGTTATTATTTCTATATGACACGAGAAAGATTTAAATATTTGCCTTTTTTTGTTTAATAGAAGGAAAACATCAGAAGCCTATAGGGTATATTTGGGAAATGAAGAGTGAAGATAATGAGATCGTTGTAATTTCTTGTGCTTGAAAACTTAATATCAGTGTGCATAACTTAAGAAGAGGATTTAAATATGATATACATAGTTCTTTCTTATTGTCTCTCTCCCTCTGTCTCTCTTTTGGTGCCATTTCTGGTGCCCTGTCTCTTAGAGTTTTGCTCAAGGCTAGTGCTCTATGAGTTCAGCCACTGCTCTGCTTCTGGTTTTTTAGTGGTTAATTGGAGATAAGAGTCTTAGGAGGGCTGGGAAGGTGGCTCAGTGGTAGAGCGCTTGCCTTGCATGCCTGAGGCCCTGGGTTCGATTCCTCAGTACCACATAAGCAAAAAAAAAAAAAACAAACCAGAAGTGGCACTGTGGCTCAAGTGCTAAAGTGTAGCCTTGAGCTGAAGAGCTGAAGGACAGCGCCCAGGCCCAGAGTTCAGGCCCCACGCCTGGACCCCCCCCCCCCCCCCAAAAAAAAAAAAAAAAAAGAGTCTTAGGGACTTTTCTGCCAGGCTGGCTTTGAACTGTGATCCATGGATCTCAGCTTCTTGAGTAGCTAGGATTACAGGTGTAAGCCACTGGAACATGACAAAGTTTCTTCTTTGTGAATGTGATTTTTTAACTTTCAGGCTAATGATATTCATTGTGAGTGAAATATTTCAAACAAATTTGTATTATATCTAGTTCAACTGTTTAATTATAATTACTTGTTATCAAATTCTTGTTTTTGTTAATATTTTATGAGTTTTCTCTTTGAAAACATTCAAATCATTACATTTATAATTAACTTGTAAAAGCTATTATGCTATCAATTATACTTGATTACTAAGTTTATGAATAGTAAATATTTTAGAATATGCTTTTCAGCATTTTGAAAGGATTATGTAATTTTCCGAAATCAGTACTGATAGAAACACATGAAATCTGAAAGGCTCTGATTTAAAATTAACCAGTAAAAAGCTGGAAGTGGAGATGTGAGAGCAACATGCTTTGAGTGAAAAAGCTAAGACACAGTACCAAGACCTTGAGTTCAAATCCCAGTACTGGCACACATGCACATGTATACACATATAGACACATTACAAAAAAACTATATCTGTCTATCTATGCTATTATCTTGGGCAGATTGCTTAACTTATTAGGGACATGGCTTTTGTTGTTGTTGATGGTTTGGGGGTTTAAACTCTAGGTGTGGGGAATGTCCCTGAGCTCTTTTGGCTCTTTGCTGGTGTGCTACCACTTGAGCCATAGCAACTGGCTTTTTGGTAGTTAATTGGAGCTGAGAGTTTCACAAACTTTCCTGTCCTTGTTGGCTTCCAACTGTGATTCTCAGATCTCAGCCTCCTGTGTAGCTAGGATTACAGATATCAGCCACTGATGCCCCTTGAAAAGGGCCTTGGTTTTTATATTTGTGCAGTGAATGATTTAGAATATTTGGGCCCTTGACTTCTTCAGAGTCCTGGCAAATGTAGAATCTAGATTTTTATTGTGTTGTCTTCCAACAAGCCTGTTAAAATACCAGTATTCACATTTCTCATTATTATTACTCTGCCAGTTCTTCAATTCAGTTTGTATTTTTAATAATATTCAGTTTGCAAGGACACAGTTTTTTTATTGTTACTTTCTTAACAGAATCAAAAGTATATTTAAATATTCTTGGAGAACAAAAATGCAATTAATTGATATTGACAGAGCACTACCACTTGAGCCACAGCTTCCTGAATTAATATTTTGCAGCAGTTAGTTACATCTTGAGCCAGCTCATAAACAGGAAAAGAGGTTGAAAAAATAGTTACTGTTTCTCAAAAAATTTAAAGCATGACATTATATTTTAGTTAGGAGTTAGTGCAAACATAATCTTTTATTAAATATCAAAGGATAGATTTAGAATTACAGATTATTGGAAGGGAAAATGGCTCTTTACATGAATCTTCATAATTAAATGGATTTTTTTGTATCAGTTGTGGGGCTTAAACTCAGGCAAGTGCTGCCCCTGAGCACTTTCATTCAAGGTTAGAACTCTACCACTTTAGGCCATGGCTCCACTTCCAGTTTTTAGGTGGATAATTGGAGATTAGAATCTCATGGACTTTTCCTGCCCAGGTTGGCTTTGATCCACGATCCTCAGATCTCAGCCTCCTGAGTAGCTACGATCACAGGCATGAGCCATCAGTACCTGGATATAAATGGAATGTTTAAAGCTGGGCACTGGTATTTCATGACTATACTCCTAGATACTCAGGAGTCTGAGACTTGGAGGATTTATGGTTACAGGCCAATTTAGGCAGAAAAGTCATGGAAACTCCATCTGCCAATTAACCACTGAAAAGCCGTGTGAAGGCTCTGAGTTCAACCCCTGATACCTGGGAAGAAATGTTTCAATATAAGTAATTATGTATCTATGATGAGATTCGTTGTATATTTAAGGTTACTCAATGATTTTGTGGGTTAAGCAAAGAGGTTCCTTTCAGAATATATTCTCAGAAACCTGATTTTTGTTTTGTTTTTGAGTACTGAGGTGTGAAATTGGGGGCCTGCACTTGCAAGGCCAATGACCTACTAGTTAAACCACACCCTCAGCCTTTCTTTGCTTTGGTTGTTTTTCAGATAGGGTTTCAAGCTTTTTGCTTGGCTAGCCTCTGACCATTCTAGGCCTCCCAAATAGCTGAGATTACAGAATATATCACCATGCTTATGCTTACCTTGTTTGTTGAGATAGAAATCTCCCAGATTTTTTGCCCAAGCTAGTCTTATTACTAAGATCATCCCATTTGTGCCTCTTTAGGAGATGGGATTGTAGGTATGAGCCTACATACCCAACCCTGTGCTTATGTTTATTTATGAACTCAAAAAACAAAGATAGAAATGGATTAACCTGTTCAAAACCCCGGCCCAGTCCCTGAGCTTTTGTGCTCAAGGCTGGCATCCTGTCACTTGAACCACAGATCAATTTCTGGCATTTTAGTGGTTAATTGGAAATAAGAATCTCATGGACTTCTGTTGCCTAGGCTGGCTTTGAACTTCAATCTCAAATCTTAGCCTTCTGAGTAGCAAGGATTATAGGCATGAGTCACTCAAGCATGGCAGTAAGCACTTTTTTTTGCTCTCTCAATACTGTGATATTGGGCTTGAACTCAATGCCTGGGCTCTGTCCCTGAGCCTGTTGTGTTCAAGGCTAGTGCGCTACCACTTGACAGAGTACCACTTCCAGGTTTTGCACTCAAAAATTGGAGATAGGATTCTCACAGGAACTTTTCCACCCAAGTTGGCTTCCAACTGTGATCCTCAGATCTCAGCCTCCTAAGTAGCTAGGATTGGCATGAGCCACCAGCACCCAGCTTTTTGACAGTTTTATACAGTTAACTAGTTAAGTGAGGAGTACTATTACCTTCTTTCTTGATTTCTTCCTTCCTTCCTTCCTTCCTTTCTTTTTTTCCTTCTTCCTTCCTTTCTTCCATTTCTTTCTTCCTTCCTTCCTTCCTTCCTTCCTTCCTTCCTTCCTTCCTTTCTTTCTTTCTTTCTTTCTTTCTTTCTTTCTTTCTTCCTTTCTTTCTTTCTGTTAGTGTTCATTAGTTATATGGGGAATTTCACTGTTACATTTCCATGTATTTAAAATATATTTTTCAATCAATCTCATCTCCTCTATCACTCCTTTGTCCCCTCCCCTTTTCCCCCAAACCACTTTAACAGGTCTCATTGTTTAATTTTCATCATTACGATCTATTTCAACACTCTTCATCATCATTTTTCATCCTCCCTGTGCAGACATTAACTTTCTTACCATTGTATCCTCAGGGCCTATGGATAGTCTATTTAAGTGAAGGAAAGAAAAATGGAAATATGCTTTATATTCTGTGAAGTGAATCATTAGCAAATCTCTATATAGCCTTGCATTTATTATTATCTTTAACAAACTCACTCAAAAAGAACACTTGGGCCCAGCCCTGGTGGATCATGCCTGTAATCCCTAGCTACTCAGGAGGATGAGATCTGAGGATCACTTTTTTTTTTTAATTGTCAAAGTGATGTACAGAGGGGTTACAGTTACATAAGTAAGGTAATAAGTACATTTCTTGGCAAACTTGTTACCCCTTCCCTTATTTTTCTCCTACTTTCCCTCCCTCCACCCCCCAAGTTGTACAGATCATTTCCAACATATTGTATGTCGCTGTTGCAGCATACACATTCAAATAAATGTATATACAATACTACGGTACCAGAATCAAATACAGTGACAACAGGGGATATTACATAGGGGGAAGAACATACAAAGGAAACAAAAAAATCATAGTACATTAAAAACAACAACAACAAAGAAAAACCTTTTTTTGTCCATGTCTTGGAGTTCATTTTACTTAGTGTCAACTAAGTAAATGTACATATGGTCATATGTACATAGCCATTGAGCTATTCTGCTCATTTGCTAAGATTAGAGGATCATGGTTTTAAGCCAGGCTAGGCAAGAAAGTTGCTAAGAATCTTGTCTCCAGTCAGGTACTAAAAAAAGCTGGAAGTGGAGCTGTGGCTCAAGTGGTAGAACTCTAGCCTTGAGCAAAAAATAGAAGCTCAGGGATACTCCAGGACCAGTGGCAAAAAACAACAGCAACCAAGCAAACAAAAGCAAAACCAAACAAAAAACCCATTTGGTTACCATAAACGTTAATGCTGTGAATCAAAGCCAAACTGTGTTGCAGAGCCATCTAGTGGTCACCAGAGGGAATATTATAGTGTAACGTCTTTTAAGGGTCTGGCTAGACTTGAGGAATTTTTACAACTATGTAGAAAACAATGTGGTTTAAGATCTTCAAGTCTAAGCATACCAAGTAAAGCTAACATTTGTTCTGCTGTTGCTTTTGTGCTGTCGAGGACTTTGGATGCATGACAAAGATTTGTGTTGCAGAAGGTAAGGTGGCCAGTCGGGCCTTTGAAGCCTTAATGACAATACAGGTCACTCTAGGATCCTTGATGATATGAAGGGAACACACACCTGTGTCCCTGCTTCTCTTCTCCTTTTCACTAGCTATTCTAGTTAAGACCAGGCAAACCAGCAGTTGCTTTTGTAGCCGTTTCTTCTCTAGGCCTATGTGTAGAACTGGTAATGAGAGACAGAGTTCTGCATTATTCAAAAAATAGAATGAGCCTGGTGCTGGTGGCTCACACCTGTAATCCTAGCTACTCAGGAGACTGAGATCAGAGGATCCCAGTTCAAAGCCAGTCCAGGCAGGAAAGTCTGTGAGACTCTTTTCTCCAATTAACCACCAGAAAACTGGAAGTGGTGCTGTGGCTCAAGTGGTAGAGCACTTGCCTTAAGCTGAAGAGCTCAGAGATAGTGCCCAGGCCCAGAGTTCAAGCCCCACAACTGAAAAAAAAAAAGTGGAATGGTGTTAGCTTCAGTGAAATTTTTTTGTATTTTTTTCCTTTTTATTGTTATTACAAAGGCGATGTACAGAGGGATTACAGTTATGTAAGCCAGGTAAAGAATAGATTTCTTTTTGGACGATGTCACCCCTTCTCTCCCTCTCTCCCAGTTTTTTCCTCTTGTCTCCATCCACAAGTTGGATAGTTCATATTTTCCACATGGTTTCTAGTGAATGCCATTGCTGCATCTGATCATCCTTTGTCCCTTCATTTCTGTGCCTTCCTTTACCCTCCCAAAGACAGAGAAATGAACAAGACAAAAAGAAAGGCAAACAAAAACAACAAAGAAGAAAATAAAACCTCTTATTTTCATTTCCTGGAGTTCATTTTGGTAAATATTATTTTGTAGGATCAGAGGCACATGGGCATTGTGCCTTTGTGCTCCTCTCCTAGGACTATCCTCCTTTGATCTCACTGTCTGTGACTAGCTAGAATCCTGTAAAATTTATCATGTCCCAGAGCATTTTAGATCTAGCTTCCGAATATGAGAGAAAACATGCACTGTGTCTCTGAGCTTGGCTTACCTCACTTAACATGATTTGTTTTAGGTCCATCCATTTCCATGCAAATGTTATAATATTGTTTTTTTAGTGGCTGTATAAAATTCCATTGTGTATGGGACCACATTTTTTGCAACCACTCATCTACTGTAGGGCAGCTGGGCTGTTTCCATAGCTTGGCTATTGTGAATAGTGCAGCAATGAACATGGATGTGCAAGTGTCCTTTTGGTGTCTTGGCTTGCGATGATCTGGGTATATTCCCAGGAGTGGTATGGCTGGGTGGTAGAAATATTTTTTTTTAAGACTGTTAGCAGTGAAGGCTGGGATGAGGACAGCTGATGGACCATAAGGTTAACATCCACTGGTCCTGCGCTCAATCCCAGCAGACTAACTCCACACTCCTCCCCAAAGTTTATTAAAAAGGAACATATTAAAATACTTTAAAACATAATAAAACATATTAAAAAGGAATATGTAACCTAGTATGAAAGGAAGTGTGGATATAGTTGTAGAAATAAGTTTGGAAATGTTACAAGAGTATTGTATTTAAATTTTTTCAGATTAAGGGTATCATGAAGCACTGTCTTCTCATGTAATCTATAAAATATTCACACCCAGCTAGATGCCGATTACTCACACCTGTCATCCTAGCTAGTCAGGGGGCTGAGGTCTGAGGGTCACAGTTCAAAGCTGACATGGGCAGACAAATCTAAGAGAGTCTTGTCTCCAGCTAACCAGAAAAAAAGCCAGAAGTGGAGATGTGGCTCAAGTGGTAGAGTCCCAGCCATGAGTGAAAAAGCTGAGCAAGAAAATGAAGCCTTGGGTTCAAGCACCAATACCCCCCCTCCTCTCATTCTCTGTCCTTTCTGAGATGATCATATTTGTCTAACATTTGAAATGTATAACTAGCCAACATGGTTTGGTTTTTATCCTGACAAGAATTACTATATGTAAAAAATAGAGTCAAATGTCCTTAGAAATTTATTGCTTATATTTCCTCATAAAACATGTTATCCAGTTGAGAACCTTTCCTATTGTTTTACAAGTTTTTTTTTTTTAAATACATATTAGTGGTTGATTCCTAAAAAAGTAATTGGGAATAGTTTACATTACTTTTTTTTTTTACAGACACATTGGTTTTAATAAATATGTTTTATTTTTATATTTTCAGCAAGAAGAGATGAACTCCAGTCCAGGAAAATTAAGTTAGACTATGAGGAAGTTGGTGTGTGTCAGAAAGAAGTTTTAATAACCTGGGATAAGAAGCTGCTAAACTGTAGAGCTAAAATCAGATGTGATATGGAAGATATCCATACTTCTCTTAAAGAAGGTATTTGCGATCATTTCAGTGATTTATGTGTTTTATTGTGCTGGTACCGGGGCTTGAACTTAGGGCCTCATTCTTTCACTTGTCTTTTTCACTTTTGCGCCACATCTCCCATTGACTAGAGAAATAAGTCTCATGGACTTTTATACCCAGGCTGGCTTCAAACCATGATGCTTCCATCTAGCCTCCTGAGCACCTGGAATTACAAGAGTGAGCCACCAAGCACCAAGCAGTAATTTTTTTCAATCAGAGAAGCCTCAGGGGTTTTTGAAATTGTGTACAGCTCAGACATAATTTTATCTTTGTGATGTTCTTCTAAAGAGATGAAAATAGCATGTGAGGGCCATCTGGCTGTGACATCTGTCACTCCATTGATCGCCAGGGTTGATTCGGCTGATCTGGCTGGCTAGGCAGGTGTGTCCCTTCCTCCCTCACCGCTCCATGTGCGTCCCTCCCGAAGCTGAGCGCTCGGTCGAAGAGGACGACCATCCCCGATAGAGGAGGACCAGTCTTCTGTTAAGGGTATACGAGTAGCTGCGCTCCCCTGCTAGAACCTCCAAACAAGCTCTCAAGAGATGAAAATATCTTATTTCGGCCTGTGGTTTGGTGATGTGATTAATAGGGAAATGGCAGTGCTGGAGATGCTGACCCTGGGGTGGAAATAGATCCTTTTCCTGCACATTCTCCTCCTGCTTTCAGCTCCTCTATTGTTTACCAAGAACACAGAGTGTGCCTGGGTTCCAATCATTGATCTGTTCGATACTTAAATCAAAAATTAAAAATAATATGTGAATATTTTAGATGTCATTGCTGTTACCCAGATTGAATATATTCAAGTGAAAAATCTTATGGCATGTGTAATCTGGTATAGAAAAAATATTTCAGAGTACCTAAAGAAACTAGATAATCAGTTTTTTAAATGTTCGTACTATTATTATAAGGGGGCAGACAGAGGGGTTAGAGGTAACATAAGTCAGATGAAGAGTACATTTCTTTTTGGACAACATCACCTCTTCCTTTATCAGTCTTGTTTTAAAAGCCTGTGATATGACAGGTACCAGTGGCTCATGCCTATAATCCTAGATACTTGGGAGTATCTAGTGTCAATAGCCAATAGCAGTGTCCAGTGGCATTCATCTACCTTCTCAGCAAATGGAAGGCTGAGATCAGGAACATTTTGATTCCAGGGAAGCCTAAGCAAAACATTTCTTTTTTCTTTTTTTTTTTTTTTTGGGTCCGGTCATGGAGCCTGAACTCTGGGCCCTCAGCTCTTCAGCTCAAGGCTAACGCTCTACCACTTGAGCCACAGTGCCACTTCAGGCTTTTTTCTTTTTGCTTATGTGGTGCTGAGGAATCGAACCCAGGGCCTCAGGCATGCAAGGCAAGCGCTCTACCACTGAGCCAACTTTCCAGCCCCAGCAAAACATTTCTTGACACTCAGTGACAGAGCTGTGCATGGTGGTGCACATCTGTCATCTCAGTAATGAAAAGAAGTGAAAAATAAGAGGATTGAAAAACAAAAGGGTTAGAGGCTTTATTGAACAGGATTGCACCTACCTACCAAGTACAAGGCCGTGAGTTCAAACTCCAGTCCTGTCACAGTATATAAACATATAAAAGTTTGTGTTCATGTGTAAAACCATTGCACAGGTAAGTTTGGGTTGATACATTTAGGATTTATTTTACAAAGTATTTCTTTTATAAGCTTCCTAGGTTGCTGTGTTGCTTTGCAGATTTATGAATCCTTAGGTTTTTCCTTGAATTCATGTGGGAGATAAGACAGTGGTTAGTAGATGCAGTAAATCCCTTGTTGATTGCTTACAGAGATTTTTAGGGTGTTCAGGTTCCCAGTCCATAGGGGTGCAGTTCAGACTTTGCACAGTCCCTCCTTCCTCCATCTCTCTTATCTTTTGTTCTGCCTCTACCTACCTTCATAGAGATAAACTATGTGTGTCTGTGTGTCCTGGGCTAGCTCTTGGGTGAGCAGTTCCAGGCCTCCCTCCACCCTTCCCGCCTTCCCGCCTTCCCGCCTTCCTGCCTTCCCGCCTTCTCTGCCTTCTCCCATTCCCCGTTGCTGCCTCTCTCACCCTCTCCTCTTTTCCTGTCTTCATTCTACTACCTGTAGGCCTTCATACACTCAGCTTCCAGAGGTGACTGTTATCTACACTCACAGCCTGGAGATCTCTCTTCTCCAGAGCTTGATTTCTGGCCCAGCATTTTATGATCACATAAGAATGCTATGCAAACCTCTTCTCCTGAGTTCCTTGTGGATGACCAATACTTAGAAATTATAATATGGACATGAGCATCTGTGGCTACCTTCCAGGAAGATTCATGAGGGAGAAGAAAGAAGAATACATTTAGGGGTTTCAGAAACGCTGTTGCTTACCAGCTACGTGAATTGGGTAGATGGCTTCATCTCATCCTGTCTGGGCTTTGCTATGTGTAAGGTGGGAATCATAGCAATGGCTTACCTCGCAGGGTTGTGTTTTGAATGGCTGTACTCTCAAGGAGCTCAGTCAGGGTGGTGGGGGTTACTGTGTTGTGTCATTATTACAGTGACTTGAAGACTTTGGCTGGCAAGATGGTGGCTCTTTTAGGATCTAACTTGCCACTCTATGATTCTGTCAATGGACTTTGCTGTATGGTGGGAGGTGATGCGTACAGCAACCTAGGTGATCACCCGATGGAGAAACTTCCTTCCACAGTCCAAGGCCTTGCGTTTTGTATTCCTCTGTCTGTAGGAGTTCCTAAAAGTCGACGAGGAGAAATTTGGCAGTTCCTAGCTTTGCAATACCGTCTGAGACACAGGCTGCTGAACAAACACCAGCCCCCCGACACCTCCTACAAAGAACTTCTCAAGCAGCTCACTGCCCAGCAGCACGCCATCCTCGTGGATCTGGGTAGGTTTGTCACAACAGTGGCTCCTTACAAAAGTAAATGGGCTCCTGGGTCTTGTGTGTTGGTTGATATGGATGAAGATCTATGGGCATCTGCATAGTTTCTGACCTTCTTTTCTGGGGTAAGTTGTCTCTATATCTAACTGGAGATACCATATATGCCTGAGTAGAAAATGAAATCTGAAATCTGAAAAAAGCAATCACTGTTTTGTTTGGTGGAGTGATCTCAGTCGCTGTAGTTTGAACAACTATCTTTTGTGTAGGTACACTATTACATTATAATCAGTGCTGGCTTTGTAACAGGTCAGATGGGCACCAAAATAGGTCACAAAGGCATATCACGAGTTTCTATGGGGTTGGAGGTGTGGCTCAGGTGGTAGAGCACCAGCCAATGATCGAGTTTCTGACAGAAAAAAAATTCCTAGACATTTTGCTGAAAATAAACTTTTAGATGTCACTTTTAAAAGTGAGAGTAACAGAGAGGGTTGTATATGGCCATAAGTACACATACTCAGAGAGGTAACAGAGAGGAGAGGAGAGGAGAAGAGAGGAGAGAGAGACAGAGAGAGACAGAGAGACAGAGGGGGGGGAAGGGAGGGAAGGAGAGGAAGAGTTAGGTATGGTCATTCACTTGGGAGACTGAAGCAGGAGGATCATGAGTAGTTCAAAGAGTAGTTGCCTGTCTAGGGTCTCACAGAGAATGGATTGTAGCAGGTAAACCTGCAGGCAGGCAGTTGGTCCCTGCCTACTCCTTATGTGAAGGAAGAAAGGGCAACTTTCCAGGCCCCAGGGAAAAAAGGCAATATAATGCTTATGCTAACACCACTTACAGGATGCAGGATTCCTCACCTTAATGCTGTAGCATTTGTTTCTCAGGGCGTGGGGAGCGTTTCCCACAACAGAATCTCTTAACGGCATTTGCTGGATTTCACATAAGCTATGAAAAGTAAAGATGGAATGATTTTAAAAAATATTTTTCTCTATGAACATTATCATCTACATTTTATTCTCTTAAACGATCTAAGAATTGAGCTTGGGTGTTTGTTTGATGGGTAGTCCTAAAAATGAAGCTGGAATCAGCCTCTTGGATAGACAGTGTATTTATAGCTGACTTGAGCAAAAATATTAAGGGAGAAAGGAAGATGGTAATATGAAAACTTGCTTATCTGACTCCACTTGTTAGATAGCTGTGTTTCTGCATGCTTCTGTTAATTTCTCATTTCTCCTCATTATATTGCAGATTTCATCATACTAGTTCTTGGGGGAAAACTTAATCACTTTTAAACCTCTGTGGTAGAAATGATTTTGAAATCTGACACTCTTGCAAATTCTGATGCATGGAATTATTTCATAGGGAAGCTAACATTGCCTTCATTTCTGTATCACAAGAAAGTACCAAATATTATATTCACAGCCTTGGGGGAGGGATGAGTCAGTTTCAGTACCAAGTCCCAGCTTTTTAGTGAGTTTATTTGCTAGCTGATGATAATTCTTTATCCAAAGGTATATCTATACAAGGGAATTTATTTCAAGTTAGCTTGGTATTGTTTTCTTTTTTTTTTAAATTTTATTTTATTTTATTTGGGTATTGTTTTCTTTTTATCCTCTTTTGACAAATATAGAGACCTAAAAGCAAATATTTCCTACATGATAGTCTACATGTAAATACAAATCAAAACATATCCCTCTAGTGTCCTCATAAAAAAAAAAGAAAGAAGAAACAAAACCAAGAAGTAATCTGCTTATGATCTTTCAAGATTTCCTGAGAATAATCTCATATCTCTTACAGGATTCAGTTAGAGAATGGTATTTTGAATGTGCCTTGATTTAAATTCAGAATTAATTTTGTGTTCCTTTCTCCTGCAATCTCTGCTGGTTATATTGTTTATGTATGATTTTTAAATTGTGTTTTATTATTTTGCTAGAAAGAAGAGCTGCTTAGCATTAACTGTTTGCTTTTATATCATACAGGGGAAGATAAGAGTGGTAGTTTGGCAGTCAGAACTTGGGTTGTGTGTGTGTGCGTGCGTGCGTGCGTGTGTGTGTGTGTGTGTGTGTGTGTGTGTGTGTGTGTGTAAGACACAGAGAAAGAGAGACAGACAGAAACAGACACAGAGAAGGAGAGGGAGAGAGAGAGAAATAGTGCCATGCCCGAGAGAACTGGAAGTCATTGGCTCACACCTGTAATTCTAGCTACTCAGGAGGCTGAGATCTGAGGGTCATGGTTTAAAGCCAGTCTAAGCAGAAAAATCTGTGAGACCTTTTTCTCCAGTTAACCAGCAAAAGGCTGGAAATGGAGGTGTGGCTCAACTGATAGAGTTCCAGACTTGAGCAGAAAGGCCAAACAAGAACTTGAGTTCATGCGCTCTACTTGAGCCCCACTGCTGGCACAAAACAAGAGACAGGGAAGGAGGGAGGCAGATAAAGGAGACAGACACTTGAAGCAAACATCACACTGACGGAGGGTGAGAATTCATTTTTCCTGGAGCTGTCTCAGTTGCGTCTTCACTGTGATCTCTAAAGCACTGGATCATCTCAATAGCATTTCACCTTCTTTTCCCCTGCAGGAAGGACATTTCCTACTCACCCCTACTTTTCAGTGCAGCTGGGCGCAGGGCAGCTGTCGCTCTTTAACCTCCTGAAAGCCTATTCTTTGCTGGACAAGGAGGTGGGCTACTGTCAGGGGATCAGCTTCGTGGCTGGAGTCCTGCTTCTGCACATGAGTGAAGAACAAGCCTTTGAAATGCTGAAATTCCTCATGTATGACCTGGGCTTCCGCAAGCAGTACCGGCCCGACATGACATCTCTCCAGGTGAGGCAGGCGATGTTCCAAGAGGGACACAGAAGGCTTTAGCACAAATCATGGCACCCGTCTCAGTTTAGACTTCAGGAAGTTTTGGATCTGTTGTCTAATGAGTAAAGGTGTGAATGGGTTTCAGCTCACTCTACTGAGTGTGGGAATTGGGATGTTGCTAAATGCTTCTGGTTTTTGGATACATAGAACAATTCTTTTTTTTGAGGGGGGTCATGGGTCTTAAACTTGGGTCTTAAACTAGCTGTCCCTAAGCTCTTTCACTCTACCACTTTTAGCCACAGTGCCAATTCTAGTTTTCTGGGAGTTAATTCAAGCTAAGTTTCATGGACTTTCCTGCCTGTACTGGCTTCGAACCACGATCCTCAGATCTCAGCCTCCTGAGTAGCTAGGATTTCAGGCATGAGCTACCAGCGCCCAGATGGAGAACAAATTGATGACTATTCTTAGGGTTTTTTTTTTTGACAAGTCAGAGAATAACCATAGACTATATTTTTTCACTTACTATTTTGGTCCTGCTGGAGTGGGCCCCATACTTTGCCAGACAAGTGCTCTACTTTTCAGTCTCTATTTCCCCCTTATTTCTGAACAGTTCACCTACATCTTATACTGGATAGAACAGACAGCCACTTTGGTAGGGAGTTCAAAAGCTCTGTTCAGAAACAATAAATTGGTGACTATCAGTAGATTTCAGAGAACAAAAAGTATCTGAATAGAATTTGATTTGAAAGAAGATACAGCTATCAGTTTTAAAAGGCAGTGATTTTTCCATTTAAAAATTTCTCTTGAGAACTGGTGGCTCATGCCTATAATCCTAGCTACTCAGGCAGAGATCTAAGAATTATAGTTGAAAGCCACCTCAAGCAGGAAATTTTACAAGACTTTTATCTTCAAATAGCTGGAAGAGGAGCTGTAGCTCCACTGGTAGAGCACTAGCTTTGAGCAAAAAAGCTCAGGAACAGTGCACAGGTCCTGCGTTCAAGTCCCAGTACTGACATACACACACAAAAAAATTCTCATGATTTTAAGGTGACAAAAGCTTTTGTAATTCAGCTATTGGTGGCTCACACCTGGCATCCTAGCTTCTCAGGAAGCTGAGATCTGATGATTGAGGTACAACGCCAGTTTGGGTAGAAAAGTCCACAACACTCTCATTTCCAATTTCCCAACAACATGCTAGAGGTGGATAGTGCTCTACCACTTAAGCAATCCCTCTACTTCCAGCTTTTTTTGGTAATCAATTGGAAATAAGAGTCTCGTGGAGTTTCCTGATTGGGCTGGCTTCAAACCATAATCTTCATATCTCAGCCTCCTGAATAGCTGATGGGTGAGAACCACCAGTGTCTGGCTAAACCATAGTACTTTTCTTATTTACTTAGTATATGCAAATTGGTATTAAAGATTAGAAAAGCAAAATTAATATTTAGTACATTAACACTCAGGTTAATTTATACTATTTCTTTTTTTTTTTTTTTTCTCCAACTGAACTCTAGATTCAAATGTACCAGCTGTCCCGGCTCCTTCATGACTACCACCGAGAACTCTACAATCATCTGGAGGAAAATGAGATCAGCCCCAGCCTTTATGCCGCCCCTTGGTTCCTTACGCTCTTCGCCTCTCAGTTTCCATTAGGATTTGTAGCCCGAATTTTTGGTAAGAAATGGCTAGGTTCACCTGAGACACAGTGTTGCTTAAGCCAAGGATGTATGTCTAGCCATATGGTAACTTGACTCTTTTATCATAAAACCAGCAATTCTGTCAAATTGCTGGTGAATTGAAGAAATGGTATCGTTTTTAAGATAAAGTAGAATGGGAAAGAATTGTGCGTCTGTGTTTTAGCAGTCTTGGAGATCTTAATTTCAATTCAGGTTTAAACAAGCTTAATATACATTTAAAAAAAAATCAGGAAGAGGGTCATGCCTGTATAATTTTGCAGATTTTTTTCTTTGTGTGTGTGTGTGTGTGTGTATGTGTGTATTTTCTCCTCCTTCTCCGTTGTCTTCTCTAACTTGGATTTAAAACACAGAGAATTATGTGTCCATGGAAGTACTTGTTTGTTTGTTTGTTTGTTTGTTTTTGGTCAGTTGTGGGGTTTGAACTCAGGGCCTGGGCTCTGTCCCTGAGCTTTTTCACTTAAAGCTATCACTCTACCACTTTGAGCCACATGGCTACTTTTTGTTTTCTGATGATTAACTGGAGATAAGAGTCTCATGGACTTTCCTGCCCAGCTGGAAGTATTTATTTTTTATGTTATTTCTAGTGGTATTCCTTGCTGTTTTTATTGTTGACAGGGTCACTTTAGTGGTATTTCTTTGTAGAAGTGACTTGTGCCAGTGGAGGGTAGAGTTGTATATCTCTGAGACCAGCTGGTAGAGAGACAATCACTAAATTCCACTGGGCATGTTGTATCTGTATCTATGTAGTTCCGCTCATGGTGTTTGGCAGTAGGAAAAAACAGAGTGTGACAGGTTTGTGCTCCCTTTGGGAGCCCTTTAATGTATTCACAACTATTTAATTAGAAAAGTCTAAAATTAAAAAAAATCTGTATCTTAAAAAAAATAAAACAACCTGTCAATCAATAAACACCACTATTTACTAGAGGTTTGATACCTCCTGATCCTCTGAGACCACCTGTACTTTCACATTCTGCCAATCTGTCTGGTAGAGTCTAGAGTTTTTCTCATCTGATTTAGGTTATTTTTGTTGTTGTTTTTCTTCTAAATTTTTTTTTAATTTGTTGCTTGATTCATTACATAACAAATTTCCCCTTGATTTTCTCTTATAAGACTTTAAATAGCCAGGCACTGGTAGCTCATGCCTATAATCCTAGCTACTCAGGAGGCTGAGATCTGAGAATCACGGTTCAAAGCCAGCTTGGGTAAGAAAGACCGTGAGACTCTTTTTTTTTCTTTTTTCTTTTTTTAACTTTTATGTTATTTCTTTTTTTTTTCTTTAGTTCTTTTTTTTCTTTTGTCTTCTTTTTTTCCTTTTTTTTTTTTTTTTTCTGAATCGTTTATTGGAGATAAGCTACCTCATCTTGTATATATATATTTCTCTAATTTGGGGAGGGGAAGGGAAAAAACAAAATGCTTAAATAAGGATACAGGTTGACCCATTGTAACAATGAGATGTAGACCCTGAGACTCTTATCTCCAGTTAACCACTAGTAAACTGGAAGTGGTGCTGTGGCTCAAGTGGTATAGTGCTCACCTTGAGCTGAAGAGCTGGGAAAGGCGCCAAGGCTAGAGTTCAAGCTCCATGACCAAAAAAAAAAGATTTTAAATAATTCTAATTGTTTTTAGTGTTCAATTATTGGAGAAATTCTAAATAGCAGTTGAACATTTAAGGATTTACCTAGTCTTTGTCAAGTTTGCTATTAAATACAAATAACACATAGACATATACATATAATTTGTCTTTTATCCCCTTAATCTTATCTGAGATTTTTAAGAAGTAAGGGATATACAAGTACTTGTTCATATGTTTCAGTCATATTAATTTGTATATGGGCTGTTTATTGGTCTTGAACTCAGGGCCTTGAGCTCTCACTCAGATTTTTCTGTTCATGGCTTATGTTTTACCACATTCATCGAGGCCAGCTTTTGGCTAGTTAATTGGAAATAGAGTCGCTTGAAATTTTCTTCTCTGGCTGGCTTTGAGTTGTGATTCTCAGATATCAGCTTCCTGAGTAATGAGGAATATAGGCATGACCTACACGCACCAGCTTCATATTAATTTTTCTTTAAAGTAGATGGTTTGACCAGTTTTCATTTGCAGAATATTTTCTGGTTCTGCTGTAGCTGTAAAACAAATACTTTTCCCAAAAAAGTCTTTGCAATGATACATAGCTCTTAAAAAATTATTTATTATAAATTGTCCAAAAGAAAGTCAGTTCTGTTTATATACAGGCATGTCTTATTTTCGGTTATGCAAATTATATCTCTTCTTTTAGATATGATTTTTCTTCAGGGAACTGAAGTTATATTTAAGGTTGCACTCAGCTTACTGAGCAACCAAGAGACACTTATAATGGAGTGTGAAAACTTTGAAAATATTGTCGAATTTCTCAAAAGCACGCTTCCTGATATGAACTCCTCTGAAATGGAAAAAATTATTACCCAGGTAAAATTTAAGTGATCATAAGATTATATGGCAGTTTTCTATTGATTATCTGATAAAGCTTTAGTACCAAAAAATAATAGGTTTTTTTTGACAGATCTTACTGTTTTCAAGATAATTTTTACTTTTTATGTTTGTTTTCTTCAGTGCTGAGGATTGAATAGGCAAGTTCTCCACCATTGGCCACATCCCCAGCTAAAGAATGTTATAGTTTACATTGATCAGATGCATTTGAAACTTCTCCATTGTGATATTTTCTATGTAGCTATGTACAGGAAATGTAGTTTAGAGCATTACATGAAGAGTTTTTCAGAAATCCTTCAATTTAAAGCAATGCTAAGACCAAAGATAGAGAGATAGTATGACTGAAGAATAAAATGAGGTCCACTGCCTTTGTAATATTATGAGCTGTCCCGTAAAACACACAAGCAAGAACATAGGCTTTGGAATTAGAAGGTACTTTATGTTTTCAATGACTTTTCTTATCAAGAAATCATTTTTTATTGTCAGTGGCTGTTTATTAGTTGTTTCACTTGACATACCACTCTATTCTTCTGAGTCTGTTTTCTCAACTCCAAAATGGCACAGATTGATCCAAGTTTTGTAAAGCTTAAATAGGAACAGGGTCACCTTCAATGATTCAAAGGAAGGAACCATTCCAGCCATGTGGACAGGAAATCCAGTCATTAGAACCAGAGGGAGGCGGTTCCATCCCTGCCCCCATATATAATAAGTGGTTGGAGCTAAACCTGAAGTCCACCAGTGTGCACAGATTGTTTTGTGGTTTGTGTATAAAAGACTGGCCTCACCCCTGGTGTTTGTATGCAGGTTTTTGAGATGGATATTTCCAAACAGTTGCATGCCTATGAAGTGGAGTATCATGTGCTGCAGGATGAGCTGCAAGAATCGTCCTTTGCCTGTGAGGACAACGAATCTTTGGAGAAGCTCGAGAGGGCCAACAACCACCTGAAGAGGCAGAACATGGACCTCCTTGAAAAGTTACAGGTACAGATGGGTATGGTGGTGGATGCCTATAGTCCCAGTTCTTAGGAGGCGTGTGTGTGTGTGTGTATGTGTGTGTGTGTGTGTGTGTGCATGTTAGCACTAGGGCTTAAATTTAGGACTTCAGGCTCTCAATTGGCTTTTTTCACTCATGGCTGGTGCTCTGCCACTTGATCCATTTGATCCACTCTACTTCCAGTTTTTTGTTGGTTATTTGGAGATAAGTGTCTCTTAGAGTTGTTGGCCCAAGCTGGCTTTGAATCGAGATCCTCAGATCCCAAACCTCCCGAATAGCTAGGATGACAAGTGTGAGTCACTGGTGCCTGAAGACATGCATATATTTTTAAATTAAATTTTTTTTGATGCACAAAATCCAGTATTTTGTGTGCACCAGACAAAGGCTCTACCACAGAACTACAATCCTAGTAGTTATATTTTTTGAGCAACCTAAACATCTTAATTTCATGTAGGTTTACAATATTGTTTCAAAAACAATAATGAATAATAAAATAGTAATAACTATAAATAATTACTTAATAATAATTAAGTAATTTGATTCAATTGGTTAATCATGAATTTGAGGCCTAGCTGAAGATATAATAAAGATCCAGACTGTTCAAAAATATTTTTTTCTTGCCAGTTATAGGGCTTTAACTCCAAGTCTAGGCATTATCCCTGAGCTCTTTTGGTTCAAGGCTAATGCTCTACCACTTTGAACTCTGCTTCTAGTTTTCTGGTGGTTAGTTGTAGATAAGAGTCTCACTGACTTTCCTGAGTTGGCTGGCTTTGAACCATGATCCTCAGATCTCAGCCTCCTGAGTAGGTAGCCACTGGCATCTGGCTTGTTTATTTTTTTTTTAAATTATTTTATTGTAAAGATGCTGTACAGAGGGGTTAGAGTCACATGAGTAAGATAATGAGTACATTTCTTTTTTTTTGGGGGGGGGGGGGTCCAGTAGTGGGGCCTGAACTCTGGGCCTGGCTGTCTCTCACTCTTCAGCTCAAGGCTATAGTGCTCTACCACTTGAGCCACACCGCCACTTCTGGCTTTTTTCTTTTTTCTTATGTGGTGCTGAGGAATCGAACCCAGGGCCCCAGGCATGCAAGGCAAGTGCTCTACCACTGAGCCACCTTCCAAGCCCCATGACTACATTTCTTGTTGAGCGTTGTTACCCCCTCCCTTGTTGTTCTCCCACAACCCCTTCCCTTCCCCACCTCCCTTACTCCTCCCTCTCACCCGAAGTTGTAAAGATGATTTCCAATATATTGTCTTGTGGGTAGCATTGTTGCAATGGGTCATCCTGTGTCCTTGTTTCAACATTTTGTTATTCCCCTTCCCTTCCCCAAATTAGACTAATGTGCATACAAGGTGAAGGGTATGAAAATCAAGTATAGTGAAAACCGGAAGTATACCATAGGGGGAAGAACATACAAAGGAAACAAAAAATCACAGAGTACATTAAAAACAACAACAACAACAAAGAAAGACCTCTTGTGTCCATATCTTGGGGTTCATTGCACTTAGCATCATCTTATATAATCATATGTACATAGCTTTTGAGCTTTTCTGCTCATCTAATAAGATTATCCTAGATGTACGCTAATTATTGCAAATGAGGGAAACCATGGGACCTATATTTCTTTGGGTCTAGCTTTACTTCACTTTGTAAGAGTTTTTCCAAGTCTTTCCATTTCCTAACAAATGGAACAGTGACATTCTTTCTAATGGAGGCATAGAATTCCATGGTAGGTATATATACCACATTTTCTTGATTTAGAGGGTTGTTTTTTTATTTTTATTTTTATTTTTTTCTCTCCCCATATAGGTGGCTCATGCCAAAATCCAGGCCTTGGAATCAAACCTGGAAAATCTTTTGACCAGAGAAACCAAAATGAAGACTTTAATCCGAACCCTGGAACAAGAAAAAATGGCTTATCAAAAGACAGTGGAACAAATTCGGAAGCTGGTGCCTGGAGAAGCTCTTGCCAACTGTGAGATGCTGTTGAGAGACTTAAACTGCAACCCTAACAACAAAGCCAAGGCAGGAAATAAGCCATAATTCCCAACACGCAGCCTCAGCACCAAGCCCTCCTTTGCATTGGATTGAGGAAGCACTTGCATGCAGCTGGCTCATGCTGGACCAGAAACTGGAAGAGCCACCGTGCACTGGTGCCAAGCCCCTGGTGAGCAGAACGTGCCAATCCTAAGCCATTGTACAGAAAATCCAGACTGATTTTTTTTCTTGTTGTTGCTGCCTATGTATATATATAATATATATGTAAAATGGACATAAAGAGTTCATGCTTTCAAATATGCCAAGTAGACTTGTATTTACAACAATTTTTTATTTCAGCCAGAAACTTTATGAAATTTACGCCAAAGGGAAGTTGATGTGAAATTCCCCATGGACACGTGGAAAAAGTGTTTTTTTTGTTTGCCTTTGTAGTGAAACAAAGCTAGATAACATCTATGTATATTGAAATATACTTGAAAAAAAATGAATGTATTTTTTTTTTCCTCCAAAGAATAGCATGTTTCACTCAAGGGTGGAAGGTGGAAACACTGCTCTTAACTTCATGTGTATCTGTCTTAAATTCTACTGACATTGTCTGTAGAGGCACATGACTGGTTGTTAGGCACAATCCTTTGGGATATTGAGGAAGGCGATGGCTTTGTGCTAACAGGGTTGTGTCTCTATGAGTTTTGAGTCTAGCCTAGGCCTCATTTTAGATATTCTAAGGAAAAATCGGGACATCGTGGCTGAATCTACCCAGCTCAAGGTAAAGGATAATGTTGCAAATTTTACAGCAGTTTGGTCATTTAAGCGGAAACCATCAGGCTTCAGAAATAGAATTTTGGACCTAAATTGCATAGATTAGTCTTTTCCCTTTTTGTTTAAATGATTTCTGCCATTATGCTTGGCTACCTTTGCCAAGTGAGGTATATTTGACATTTTCCCATGCTAATTACCATGAAAGCTCTCAAATCAGTTCTCTCTCTACTTTCAATATAAGATAAGGAAGGACAATTATGATTCATTTTTCCCAAAGATGGCGTCCTGTGTTTAGGCACTTTTCCCCGCTTAGCCAATTGACAGACTCCAATAAATTCTGCATCATCTTCCCCTTTCATGGGAAAATTTTAGGAGAACTGTGAAATGTTTAGGAAATTCCCAGGAAGGGATGGGAAAGATGGCACCAGCCCAACCAAACCCTAAAATTCTATATTTGGTCTTTGAATTGTCTCTGTGTACGAATAGCTTATTGGTGGACACTGTTGCGTGCTAGATATATATTAAGAAAAGTTAATTTTCAAAGTACCCACGCAGTCCTTCACAGCTGAGATGAATTTGTGATAGTGCCTCTGAAATGGATGCAGACATTTTGTTTTTCCAAAATGTATTTATTATTACTGCCTTTTGTATTTGTATTTTTTATTTTTGCAGGACTTGTGGCTTCATAGATGGATTCTTTAGGATAGTTTTCTTCAAAGAGAGTTTGTTTTCCATAATCTGAAATGTTTCATGTAGGGTAAGCATCAAGCTCTGAGGATTTCAGAAACCCTTGATGAACCACAGAAACCCCATTTACACTGTTAATCAGTGTAAAACCGATCATTCTTCCTGTAGATCAGCATGCTATGTGATTTCTCACCCAACAATCAAGTCTGAGTAGCAAGTAAATTTAGTGTAACTTCTAGGTCCTGGGAGATGGTGATTCTAAATATCCCATTTAGTTGAGATCACCAAAGTATTTGTTGCTTGGCTTTCCCAAAAATGTCCCTATTTATAGGAAGGTAGAGTTAATTTTTTAAATTATTGTCTTTAAGTGTGGACAAAGAGGTTTCCATTAAACAAGTCAGATTATGAGTATAAAGGATCTTGATCAGTATTACCTCGGAGGTTTTTAAAATTCCCTATCAATAGGAGAAATACATTCTTCTTATCATAGAGTAACATGGAATTTGCCTTATGGATGTGATACACAGGTGTTAGCCAGTGGGGCTTCAAGTTGGGGAAGGTCACTTCTTTCTGATACTCAGTTTCAACTTTATTCTGGATGTTTAGGGTCAACCTTATGAATTGCATCATGGTGTTCAGAGATCAAGGTGACTCAGATAGTCTTTTCTCTTGACAGTCAGTTTTTCTGTTTCATTTGTGACTCTTAAACATGTTACATCAACTATACTCCATATATTTTGCATCTGTATCAGATTAATGTCATGTCGAATTCATTTCCAATAAATATATTGTTGCAGTTTTCTTGGCTTCTGGGTTTTATTTTTGATTACTTCAGTGAGAGAGAGAAAAAACAGAGACATAAACAAAACATGCATAAGTTGGAATATTAGATACTGATAATTCTTTCCAGTAGAATATGAAACATTAGAGATAATTTAAGAAGCCATTATGGGGGCCGGGAAGGTGGCTCAGTGTTAGAGTGCTTGCCTTGCATGCATGAGGCCCTGGGTTTGATTCCTCAGCACCACATAAGCAGAAAAAGCCAGAAGTGACATTGTGTCCCAAGTGGTAGAGCGCTAGCCTTGAGCTGAAGAGCCCAAGTATAGCACCCAGGCCCAGAGTTCAGGCGCCATGACAAAAACAAAAAACAAAAACAAAAAACCCCAAAACCATTATGAACTAGGTGCTAGTGTTCATGCCTGTAATCCTAGCTACTCAAGAGGATGAGATTTGAGGACACAGTTCAAAATCACACAAGGAGGAAAGTCCCTTTATCTTCCAGTTAACCTCTAGAAAAACGGGAAGGGTTAGTCCTAAAGTTAGCAATAGCACATGGTGTCCTTGAGAGGGCTGTAAACACATTGGAGAATTCCTGCAGGATACATTCAGATCATATCCACCAGCAGCATTCTGAATTCTTTGGATGAAAATCCAATTGGAAATTGTTTCTTTATTTTCATATCCTCTTTCTTGTTGCTGTCTTGGAGAGGATCTAGTAAATAAAAGGGGTAGAATAAATCTGTCAGAGTGGTTTGCCTTTATCATTCCACAGTCATAAGAAAAGGCTTGAAGGAGTTAAAAACTGATAATAATGCACTTTCACGTGCTTTTTAAATTTTTTGTGCTGGTCTTGGGGTTTGAACTCAGGTCCTGGGTGCTCTCTGAGCTCTTTTGTTCAAGAATAGTGCTCTACCACTTTGAGCCACAGCACCACTTCCAGTTTTTGAGGTGATTAGTTGGAAATAAGAGTCTCATGGACTTTCCTGACTGGGCTGGCTTTGAACTGCAATCCTCAGATCTCAGCCTCCTGAATAACTAGGATTATAGGTGTGAGCCACCAGCACCCGGCGACAAATAGATTTTATGAACCAATTCCACATTGAATACCAAATATCCAGAGGTAGTATAGTCCTTGGCCTCAAAGAGTTGTGGTTTAAGAGGGAGGAAGGGAAGAATGGTATGCTGATGAAATCATATTGGTGAACCTTCAATGCCCCAAACTAGAACAAATGCGCTGGGGTAAATGGCACTTTTGGGGTAAGATCTTCTTATTACATGGAAACAAAACCTAGAAGGCACAAGTCTGATGTTGGCAAAGTACTTTTCTCATTAATAACATTACTTCTCATGATATAAAAATATTTGTCTTTGTTCAAATGTTACTAAGATTCAACTTTTCTTCAATGTAAAGTACTTACGTAATCTCACATTGTTTCCTTCTGGAATTGAGTTCATTTGCAAATTTAGTCATTAATCTTGAGTAGAACATGTTGTTATTCAGAAATAATCATTGCAGTTAAAATTCACATTGTACTCTAATGTGTAGAGATGTCTTGGAAATAAAGTGTTTCAAAACAAAATGAGAGCATTTTCTATGTTGACTGTCACCAACTTGCTCATATTTGATTTCCTTCATACATCTCTGTTGTAGTTTGTCTAACAAATAGTTATTCTGTTCTACTGTTCCCTGCTCCCTCATTCAGCCTTTCTGTCATAAATTGGGTACTTATAAAGAGAATTCATAATTCACAGTTATTAAAGCTTATGTAATTACAGCATTCATTAGTATTTTAGCAGAACTTATATTTAAAATCACAAGGCAAGGTGGTGGTGGTGGGGGTTACCAGTGATCGAGTGAGTAAATATGTTTGGTTTTCTTCCCATCTCCCATGAAGTTAAACCTATGGTTCACTATGTATGCCTTTCGTAAGGCATCCCACATATTCAAAGGATGACAAGAATGCATTTCACTGGCTGTTTATATGAAAGGACTACAAGACAAATACATGTTTTAAAAACATTTGCTTATAATTGTGTTTCCCTGTTCCTCTACCCCTCTTGAGCAGTGTTATTGAAAGCAGTCTTCTGCTTTGAAGGCATGACCATAGGCAAAAGCACACTTCCAGGGAGACCATGAAGAATAGTGAAGAAAGATGACAGCCATGCACTGTTTAACTGTGCAAGTTAACATTCCCTTTGACAGATATGTCAGATAGCATGAGCCCAACCTCTTGCTTTTTTAGGCATTTGATGCAAGCTAGTTTATAACAACTTTACTTAGGCACGAAACGAATTACAAGGAAGAACTGGCTTCAGCCATTGCCATTCTGTGTCAATAACTATACAAAGAGTTGGTAGCCTTTGTGAGACCTGCTTCTCCCGGATCTGGAGAGCGGGGGTTCTTGTACCACTTTGAATTTCTCTCTTAACTCTATTTCTGCTAAAAGGTGCTAAAAGGTAAGGAAGTTTTATGATGAAGGAAGTTTGGGAAATCATGGAGGAAGGCAGGTTGCACAGAATTCTTCACTGGCTAATATTCCAGAACCTCAGCCAGCTGCCACTTCTTAGGGGCATTATGGGCTGGCCAGAGGCCACATGACCAGCCAGCCTAGGGAGCACAGGGTTGATATACAGGTAGATCAAGGTGAACTCTGGGTCCTCCACTTAATCCCCATGGAACTGAGAAAGTCACCAAACTTTTTACAAGTGCATTTACATATACATACAGTAGGCTTCAATTAATCCACTAAAGAACCATCCAGGTGCATAATTTCTATAATCAACTAATTATTTTTCCAAAACTCTAGACAAATTACATAATGCACATGGAAAGGGAATTCTGGTTTTGCTTTCAGTCTAACTGTAACAATGTATCTTATTCTTATATTTGTGTGAGTGCATGTTTGAGTATGTATGTTTGTGTGTGTGTGTGTGTTTGTGTGCGTGTGCATGCGTGCGCATGCATGTATACACACACCAGGACTGGGGCTTGAACTTAGGGCTTCATGATTTTCCCATTCAAAGCTGGTGCTCTATCACTTGAACCACATCCTTACTACCTCATATTGCTTTTAAGTATTATACAATTAAGTAAACAACTGTAAATGTCTGCAACTAGACATGTTTTTCCCCTTAAGTAATACAAGTCAAGCTTGTGGTTAGCCTGAGATTTCTTTTTAAAAATCAATGAGAAAGTCTGTTTCCCCTTCCTTCTTGGTGTTGGCACCTAGCCATTGTATTCTATTTATAGTTTTGCCCCCTTTTTTGGTTGGAATGGTGAAAGAGAAAAAAAATGGTACATTCTTCTCATTTAACCAAGAAAATAAATTTTACCTTAATGTTTTGCTAAAAACAGTTTGTAAAGAAAAACAAAAGGCTTTGCCTTGTCAAGTATGTTTTTATAAATACTAATTTCTCAAATGTTTCCTTTACAGACCTGTACCTAACTTCTGATGTTATTGTCATTCTGTGAATGAATGAAGGGTGACAGAGAAAAGCCTGTGTGGAATAAACCTTTATATTGCTATTGTGCTGTCCTGCATATTCTGTGTGCTAAGTGATCAGAAGAGTCTTGTAGACAGGACAGTCTTGTAGACAGGCAGAGGCAATGCAATGTAGTGAGATACCCATCTTGCTAGATTAGTTAGGCAGTATGAATAAAAGCCAGAGGCTGGCCACTGGTGGCTCACACCTGTAATCCTAGCTACTCAGGAGGCTGATATCTAAGGCTAACCCCTCAAAGCTAGCCAGGGTAGAAAAGTCTATGAAACTTATCTCTAACTAACCCACACAAAGCAGGAAGTAGAGTTATGGCTCAAGTGGTAGAGTGCCAGCCTTGAGTGAAAAAGTCAAGTTAGAGTATGAAGCCCTGAGTTTGAACTCTTGTACTGGGACTAAAAAGGAAAAAGAAAAGCCAATCAGAGAGCCACCTAACCCAACTCTGTAAGGTAAGAAAGAGTGTTAATTACATAAACAAAAGTTAAGTAGGCATGAAACTTGCCCATATGATCCTAAATTTCATGCTTAAATTGATCAGAATCTTCTAGTCTACAGTACATTATTATAACATTTCTTATTTAAAAATAAAACCACAAAAATTGCTAACATTAATATTTTTTCTTTTTTTTTTTTTTTTTGGTCCGGTCGTGGGGCCTGAACTCTGGGCCTGGACACTGTCCCTCAGCTCTTCAGCTCAAGGATAGTGCGCTACCACTTGAGCCACAGCGCCACTTCCGGCTTTTTTCTTTTTGCTTATGTGGTGCTGAGGAATCAAACCCAGGGTCTCAGGCATGCAAGGCAAGCGCTCTACCACTGAGCCACCTTCCCAGCCCAACATTAATATTTTTTCTAAAACGAAAAACCAGAGAAATTGTTTATAAAGATTTGACCTGAAAACTGGTATCAGGTCTACTGCTTACACATAATAATTAATTTATTGGATCATTGATATATTTCCTTTGTCATCATTTTCATGCCTAACAACAGATATTTCAAGAAAGAAAAATCCAATGTATAAAACACTGTGCTTTAAAAAAATGACTAATTCCTAATTATTACATCTTTGTTGGCGTCAAGGTGATGTACAGTGGGGCTACAGTTACATAAGTAAGGTAATAAGTACGTATCTTGTCAAACTTGTTACCCCTTCTCTCATTTTTCTCCTGCTTTCCCTCCCTCCAACCACCAAGTTGTACAGATCATTGCCAACATAGTGTCTTGTGAGTATCACTGTTGCATTGGTTCCCCTTGTCCTTTGTCTCACCATTCTGGTGTTCCCCTTCCCTTCCCTAGTTCAGATAAATGTATATACAATACCAGGGTACCAAAATCAAATACAGTGACAACAGGGGATATACCATAGGGGGAAGGACATACAAAAGAAACAAAAAACATAGCACATTAAAAACAACAACAACAAAGGAAAACCTCTGTGTCTATGTCTTGGAGTTCATTTCGCTTAGTGTCATCCTATATGGTCATATGTACGTAGCTATTGAGCTACTCTGCTCATCTGCTAAAAT